GCCGAATTAGAGCGCAGCTCTTGAGGACGAGGGAAGGTACTGAGGGGAGAGGGTCATGTGACCTCGGGAAGAGGGGGGGTCACGTGACCTCGGGGAGTGGGGTTCATGTGACCTCAGGGGGGGGGGGGGGGGGGGGGGGGGTCACGTCCTCCCCGAGGTCACCGAGCTACCCGAAGTCCTCCCGAAGGAACCCGAGGTCCTGACGCCGACGCCGACGCCGCTCAAGCTGGTAACGGGCGCCTAAGAGCTGCGCTCTAAAATACACTTTTACTCTTTTCTTGAACATACAAAATCTTCGACCTCGGCGTACTATTTCAACAATATTGGGGTGATTATTTATAAGGTCAGATAATTGGTAATTAAGCTTAATCAAACTACCAATAAATGATGAGCTAAATAGGGCGTCCTTCTGAACACCCGTCATGAAAAAAAAGTTTGCTATTGCTTGTTTTATTATAGATCAAAATGCAGTCAAAGACTATAAGATACACAAGCACAAACACGCATACTAAAAGCGCCAGGCCATGGTGCATGGTTTGCGCTTGATTGCTTTGACCGGGGACAAAAAAAAACGCACTATAAGAGGTTGAGCTCCGTGACATAGTGTTTTCTGGCTCTGCTTGCTTGGCCTCATTGACCTGTTATGTCGGTTGCGCTCTGACTTACGGCGAAAATGAATTTAAACGTTTATGTCGTGCAAAAGCCCTTTCGATCGCGAAATGCTGACAAGGCATGTCTTATATATGTTCTTTAAAGGGGCGATGCAACAATTTTTGTACTTTGCGGAAATACCGCTTAGAACGGATCCCTGACGTTAATGACCCATGAAACAGGCGTTCGTTTTTCACCCCACGGAATAGAAGTCCCAAAAAAAAAATTAAAGAAAAACGAGCAGCGTTCACCCCCTCAACTCGCAGCCAGAAGAAGCGGCCACATGATCCGGAGCGGATTATATGCCGCCAATGGCGATCATAGGCACGCCCTGGGGTTGGCAAAGCACAGGACACGCGCTGAGTTCCAGACATTGTTATGGCTCGGCTATTGCCGTCGTTGCAGCGATTGGACACGGGCCCGCTACCCGAGTGCTTCTCGAGCTAGTAATTATAACGAGCCCAAGTCGAGTGCCCACGCAATGCTCGGGTCCAATCTATGAACCGCATTCAAATATCGTCTCTGGGGGTGTACTGCGATCCCCACGTTACGTCATCAAATTTTGCAAAGGAGAGATTGAATGAAAATGATCGCTTTTGTCCTTGAAATTACACCGCAACAAAGGAGTTTCTTGGCCAGTGGCGTTGCGTGCGAGTATCCTTGAGTCCCACTAGTGCCAGTAAGCTCGTGTAAAGTGAAAAACATTCCAATTGAATATCGTTGCACCGCTCCTTTAAAGGAGCTGTGCAACGATATTCAATTGGAATGTTTTTCTCTCTACACTAGCTTACTGGCACACCTCGGACTCAAGGATACTCACACGCAACACCATTGGCCAAGAAACTCCTTTGTTGTGGTGTAATTTCAAGGACAAAAGCGATCATTTTCATTCAATCTCTCCTTTGCAAAATTTGATGACGTAACTCGGGGATCGCAGTACACCCAAGTGACGATATTTGAATGCGGTTCACAGATTGGACCCGAGCATTGCGTGGGCACTCGACTTGGGCTCGTGACAATTGCTAGCTCGAGAAGCATTCGGGTTGTGACCCGTGTCCAATCGCTGCAACGACGACAACAGCCGAGCCATAACAATGTCTGGAACTCAGCGCGTGTCCTGCGCTTTGCCAACCCCTGCGCGTGGCTATGATCAACACTGGCGGCATATAATCGGCTCCAGATCACGTGGCCGCTTGTTCTGGCTGCGAGTTGAGGGGGTGAACGCCGCTCGTTTTTCTTAAATTTTTTTCTGGGACTTCTATTGCGTGGGGTGAAAAACGAACGCGTGTTTCATAGGTCATTAACGTTAGGGATCCGATTTAAGCGGTATTTGTGCACAGTACAAAAATTGTTGCATCGCTCCTTTAACGTTTGATAACATTCTTCACTGATTGATTGACTATGTCTTTAATTCTTGAATAGTTAAAACGATAGCTACTAGCTTGTGAGCCTCTAACGAAATCGCTTTGCCAACCCTGTAGCGCGGAACCAAGCTAGTATCAAAGAACAAATTTTGCCCAGCTAGGCACTTTCGATCGGCTCCATGAGGTAGCTGGGCTTCGCTTCTGTGCAAATTGGGCACTGCTAGCACCACTTGCACGTTTGCTGGCATTTGTGTCAGCGGGAGCACGCGCTGAGCCCTGAACGTGCACGGGCGAGCAGCAGAAAGGAGGAAATTAAGAGCAGAGGAGGAACATCACTGCCACGAGACTGTTTTCTGGCCACACGGATGAGTTCCGCCATCTAGTGGTTGAACTAATAACTTGTTCAAAATGGCCACCGAGGGACCGCCGCCGCCGCGAAGCGGCGGTCCCTCGGCGGCTCATTGCGGGTAAATCAGGTCAATTAACATTTTTGTAATGAGCCGCCGCTTCGCGGCGGCTTATTACAAAAATGTAAACTCATCTGATTTACCCGTACACGCGGCTTCGCGGCGGCCGAATTCGCTAAAAAGGAGGCTCATCGCCCTTTTCTCTTAACTGGGTTCTCTATAAAAGCATTCGATAAACCGGGGTCGGTAAAACGGCGTTCGCTAAAACGAGCTTCTCTAAACTGCATGCCTCCGGACTATCGATAAAACTATTGATAGTTTTTCAATAGCGGACTATCGATAGTGCTATCGATAGTCTTGTTTTTTTCATAGTCGACTATCGATACTACTATCCATAGTTTTTCGATGGACGACTATCGATAGTACTATCGATAGTCTTTCGATAATCGACTATCGATATATTTTTGCTATCGATAGTCAGATTTCTGGCGACTATCGATACTACCGATAGTACTATCGATAGCTTTACACCACTACTATACGGTCCCTCATGCTGCGCCGCAGAGGTTGCATTTTGTCAGTGGATGTATTCTTGCCGCTGTACATGGAGTCACTTCCAGCAGTGTACTAGCCGTGTTGCAGTATTTGAAGAATACAGTAATATAGCTTATTCCTGCGCTACGCACGAACTGGACATATTTATGGTCTTATCAAACAAACACGCTGGCCGCGTATGTCCTAAAAGTCAAATGCAAAAAAGTTAAAAAAGGAAAAGAAAATGAGCGGATTTAAATTTTGCTGTTTGTTGCGAGCCACGTGGTCGCAAAACCGATCTCTTAGACAAGCATCAACATATCAAGGGGCTTTCTCGATGTTTGCAGTACATTATAAATAAAAGCTTTGTGGCACCAGTGGTCCGCTTAGTAATATCAGTGCTTTTTTGAAGAATTTAGCTTCTTTTTTTTTTGCAATTGTCTCTGCTTTTAGTTATGTCAGCTTTATGCTGCTTATGCCGGCAACACAATGTAGCTGTCAAGTGCCAATTTTTACGTTTAGGAATTAGAGGAATGGAATGGAACGATTCAGCCAGTCCAGGAGTGGGAATAAGCCGAGTGTCTCCATTCCTAGGAATTGAAAGGAATTGAACTATCGAAAACTCTAATTCCCCGGAATGGAATTGGAATGGAATGGGGGTACCCATTCCGCAACACTGATTTCCAGTGTTGCCGGGGCCTCGAGCGGCTAGTTTCGGTTTTGTTGGCCGCGCCCCAAACAAAACTTTGAGGCGTCGATATCTTTAAAACTACGCACAATAAGGAGAGAAAAAATTACACCTTGAAATTCAGGGACCCTGACTGCACTAAAAACGGTCATAATCCCAAAATCGAAAGTATGAACCAAAGTTGCCCTTTAATGAAAAAAAAAAAAAAAAAAAATATATATATATATATATATATATATTGATGATCTCTGAGAGATTCTTGGTCTAGGATTTCCCAGTGGGAGATTTTATTTAATAAGTCGCCTGAAATTATTAGTAAATCTATCCAACTTCGTCCATTAGTAGTTATAAATATTGGCGGGAAATGCTTAATATTGATGATAAAAAGGTTATGTATTATTAGAAATTTAGTTAAAATTTCTCCTTTGTTATCTGTGACGTGTCCTCCCCATGTTTCATGTTTTGCATTAAAATCCTTCCTATTATTATGTTTTTATTTGTTAATGAACGAAGAAATTTATCTAAATTATCCAAAGTTTGTTAAAATGCAGAGCTGGGAGATAAACCAATATTGATTAAGACTATTTCGATGTTACTATATGTACATTGCATAGTTACGATGTCAGAAAGTTGCAGTAAAGGAAAAATAAAATCGTTATTATCATTGGAAATAATTCGCATTCAGGATTAATCTGTGATGCTGTAATTTGAAATCGTAATGGTATTCCTAAAATTTTATTGTTTATTGCACGAGGCTCTTGGAATAAAATAAATGCGGGTTTAGTTTCAGTTATAACTTCCTCTAGGTGTGCTGTCGCTACGTTTGATTTTTCCAAATTAATCTGAATTATTTGTCTTCTACTGGGATTGTTTTGCATTTCGATTGTATAGTAGTGTCTGTACATACCGAATTATTTAGCGTTGTGTACACTATGGTGCCCTCCTCAAGACGGTGAAAGTACAAATAAATCTATATACAAAAATGGCCTTAAATGCGTTAAGTTCTATATTTACAAATTTATATAACGATGTGAATATCAAAGCTATATACATCTTTGTCCAGGGTGTCCATTTAGCCATACTCTTTCTCTCTAGGGAGTGCAGCCTAGTTGTGCGCCACCGGTGACAGGCGGCTTTCCTACGCTTCACGAACATGTTGGAGCTCACGACAACCGGGCCGAGCGTTCCGAACCACGGCCGTTATACCGGCCATCGGGGACGAACGACCAGCGGTCCCCACATCCATCCCCCCCCCCCCCCCCTCCTCCATAAAAGGCTTGGTGGGCCTACCTGATATAAAATGGAGATCCACCGGCTCTCATAAATTAAAAAAAAAACAAGGAACAGCAGGCTTACCTGAGCCCAAAGGGGCTCGATGTCGTCGTCCCTGCCCAGCGGTCTACAGGTCACAGCGGGTTGAGGTCAATGTCCCCGTCGATCAGGTCCTATAGTCTGCTGGGCCCGGCCTGGCCTTCGGTGGGCGGCGTTGGCGGTCTCGGTGGCACAGTCGCCAAGGCCGAAGCAGCTACCCCTTGCAGTCCGGCTGCTTCCAGGGCGGCGGCAGAAAACACAGGGTCGCGGGCCAGCCGAGCGCCGAAGCACCGGATGGCGTCTCGATGTTCCGCCGGGTCGTCCACGCGCCGGGGCCCGCTGACGTCAGCGTTCTTGCCGTTGGCCCGGCTCCGGTGCAACAGGGACCGGTCGTGCCCGCCGCCGTGGAGCCGCAGTCCGTCACAAATGCGGCAAAAGACATCCTCTGGCCGAGATAGGGCAAGGTTAGGCAGAAATACTCAAAAATGCATTTGGAAATACAAATACTGGGATACATGAGAATAGTAGCCAAAATACTGATACTAAAATATATCCGTCAAAATCTATCGCGATACGTGTCAGAAATACACTTTAAAAATATTCAAAAAGTCTTTGGAAATACAAATACAGGAATTGTAGGGAGGGCAGAAATACATATACCGAAATACTGATACCGCAATACATTTTTCAAATTTGTTTAAGACGCCAACTGAGATGAAGCTTGACGTTTGCAGTGGAAGTTTTGGATTCCGAAATTACTTTTCCGTTGGCTTGGCACATTGCCTTGAAGGTAGTGATTTCGGACGACGAGTAGTCTTCAGTGGGCTCAAAAAAACGTCCCATCAAAGACTGACAGCGGCCCCTTCCCGGACATCCTGTCTGTCGGACGAGCTAAGCGAAAAGACTTCGACCTGTAAATAAATTCCATGACGCCTTAAATCCCATAAAAACGTCACCACGCTCCTGTCCAATAAGGGCGCCCCTGTCAGCATTGATCGCATGGCGTCACGGTGGAATGAGCTGGTATTCGTGTATATGTAGGTGGGGTCTTCAACATCAAACTTTATCCACGCTGCTGTATGAAAGGACAATACGTACTTTCCTTGTAGGTGATCTCGTTGAAGATCGTGCAGGCAGTTGCATTTGGAATTTTTGAAAATAGGTAAACCACCTGAAGCATCCTGGGACACATGTCTTACCTTCTGTTACGGTTGAAAAAACGACACGGCGGCATCGCTGTTGTGACGATCCTTTCTACTGACCTGCTGACGCACGGATGGTGTGAGGGCCCACGAAGAAGGAATAACTTTAAAGATTAACTGTTTATTACGGAAAAGGAAGGTCTGTCTGAGTCAGTAGGACGGGCGGAAGCAGGCTGCCTTGGAGAATATTCAGGCTAGAGTGCCTTCATGTGCGCTACTTCAGGCGAAGACGGCGAAGAGGCGATGTCAGCGGGCAGAAGCGAGGGCGAGAGCGAAGCTGGTTTGTGAGGAGGGGGGTAAGGTTACAGCTGCGGCAAAGTCGGCTGCCGGGGCTGTCGAGCAAAGTCGACCTTGCTGGCGTTTACATTTGGGCGATGGGTAGAACTGAGGATGAGGAGAAGGGACGGTCGGTTTGAGCGGCGGAGACTCGTTGGCTGTAGAGGACTCGGGTTGCGGGGAGCAATTCGGACGGAAAGAACGGAGCGGGGGCCGCAGAGGGGATGGAAGAAAAAAGGATGGCTACGGTTAAGCTATGCTCACAATGGCAGCACTCAAGTTTCGCCTAGCATCATCCAAACAGAGGCCCTCGTGGAGTGCGACCTGAACTTTTCGTCGCAGGTTTGAGCTCTCTGAGAAACAGCGCTCTTGAGACGAGTCACAGGTGTACAAAGTCTGGGTCGGCACAGCGAGGCCTCGTCTGGCCTCCTTCCCATGGGTATCGGATCACCAGAGCAGCGGGTCACGTTCACGTCGACTGATGACGTACCCTTGAGCCGTGCAATACTAAGGGCGCAGAAGCACTCGGAAATCTGTTGAACTTCATTGCGTGAGTCATTCTACTATTTCAAATCAATCACCGCCAGGCTTGTGCTGCAACGGACTGTGACTCAGCTTTGCCGGCTGGTTGTACTAGGCCGGCGCTGCCGTAGCCTTGGCTGTTGTAACGCGCTTCGGGCGTCCGAGCGAGCAAAGAAGCGAGAAAAAGAGCGACCGGTGAGCGAAAAAAAAAGGAGAGAAAAGTAGGGTGACGTCACGATGACGTCAAATATGTTAATAACCGACTCCGACCACTAGGACGAGTACAGCCGTTAACATCCCTTGTTTCCTTGGGGCGCTCTTTCTGCGCTCAAACGTAGGATTCTTGTTTCCGCCACCTCAAAGCATGGCGCTCAATCGCCGTCTCTACTAGAGTAACTGTATATGCTCCGCTTGCGGAGCAGAGTACCGCAATGGTGTCATTCTGGAGCCAAGCACTGCGGGAAGCCACGGTCGGTTTTTGCAGGGGACGTGAAGGCGCAGACGCAAGGCAGCGTGATATGGCGTGCTGCGGCGCGCTGCGTAAGGAAAATAGTGCGGCGTGCGGCGACGAGCCGCGCATGCGCCGTCATCGTTCTCGCGTCGTTTCCTGTTTCCCTCTCGATTGCGAAAATCGCACCCGCGGATCCTGCGGGTCGCGTGTGAAGTGAAGTCGTCATTTCATTGCGGTAAACGACGCAGCGGCTCACGAAAACGCCGTCCCCTCGCTTTCGGACGAGAGCTCGCCGACTCACCAAGAAGGCCGGATGCGCCGGTCGCGTATCGCGTATCACTCCGCGAGAGCCGCAGACGCGAGCAACACGATCGTCGTCCGTGTCGTCTGCTTCCCATACCTTGGAAACGGATGTCCTAAAACATCGCTCGCGTTATAAAAAAAAACAAAAAAAACAGGATTGTATTGTACCCAGCTGACGCACATAATGCTCAATGACTTAGGAAGCTTTCGGTTCGTTCGAGTTTAGTCTAGGATCTATATTTTGCGAACTCAAAGCGGAAAATATGTTCCCCCGAAACTCGGCGCTCTGGAAGGCCGCTTTCCCGCACGAAGCTCGGATCCAGTTCTGCCCACGTGACCACTCCTCCGCCAATACGGAGATGGCGGCGAAAGGAAAAGGAACGCGATACTCTGGCTCTGCAAGCAGAGCCTATACAGTTACTCTAGTCTCTACTGGCTATTCGCCTCGAGATTGAACCGTGTCACCACCGTGCGGCCGAAATTGGAAACGCGCGAAAGCGGGGATACCGCCGTGCGTCGTCTGCTACGGGCGCACGCTCAGAAGCATGGATCTAGACGACGCAAGCCCGTTTCAGGCTGAGCTTGACATTCTTTACTAAATGTTTTATGCTTTTGTTGCCGTTTCTTCTTACTGAAGGTTGTGTTGTATCGTTTCCCATGCGTAGAAATTCAGCAAAGCGAGTATTATGAAGTCGGAAGCTTCCATAATCTTAGTGTGTTGGTTTGTATACAATTGCTGCATCCCACGTATTTTTGTTATCTCGCACAAACCGTGGCTTTCATAAAGGATTGGATGTTGAGTGGGGCTGCGGCTCGATTAGGAAATTAACCCGACTGATCGCTATCCTTTAATAAAATAATCAATCAATAAATCCGTATGCTGATTTTTCGCCGGTCACATTGCGTGAAAGGCGTTAAAACTACACATTTTTTTACTGGTTTTACTGTGTCATTAATGGCATATTGCATTCCCATTCTAAACTTCACGTTGTGTGTCCTACATAAATATGAACACGGGAAGCCTTTTAAAATGAAGTACTTTTTAAGTTATTATTTAAACAGTATAATCACCCTCGGTGAAATGACAAGCACGCTGAAGTGGTTTACCGTGCAAGCCTATGTCACAAAAGAAATAGAGACGTCAAGAATATTAAAGCAGGCATTTTTTACTTCTTGTTGACTTTCTTCAGCGCAAGACTAAAATTAACCGTCAAAAAAATTGCAATTGAAGCATTACTTGAATATTCTGAAAGTTAATCGATGAACTGCCCAATCCCGATATACGTTAGGTGAGGGCGCAGGCTGTTCGGAAAGTCTCGTGAAGGTCGCTAGCCCTGATCAGTAAAACAGTATCACTGAGGCCGATGCTGTCTATGTCGTGGTGCGCGTCGTTTGTTGGGGTCGCAGAGTCTACTGTGTTTGAATACAAGATTATTTATCCAGAAATATATAGTATTAGCCTCTTGACATCCGCGGCTTTCACCAAGAAAATTGAAGCGGGTGAACTCACACTACCGAGAAAAGCATTTAATAACAGAAGCATTGCTGCGTTGCTCGGTTACACTCGTTTTTTACAGTCACGGCAGATATATTAGAACAGTTTGTTTCACTTGTTTCCCTTATCCTGCCAACCGTGCAATTTGCTGATCTTAACTAGAAGAGACACTCTCTCCTCGTCGCAACGCAGTAGATTTGTTCCGACTCCAAAAAACTTACCCACACCATGGCAGAGTAAAGGACTGTTCACACATGCAGCGGAGCGCTACAGGCGTAGTGCTAACCTCGCGCTAAGCGCGCGCTGACGGGAGCATTGACCAGCTTTGTATCGCACTGTCAATATGGTTGCTCATGGCAAGTGGTAAGTACCCGACAGCACGTGAGCAGCGCTACATTAGCGCTTCGCTACATGTGAGAACCGTCCTTAAGAGGGCAGAGGAACTCAATAGCGTAGTAATTTCCAATACAGCGCTAACTTATCTTCATTCCAAATATTTATATTACTGAAAAAGCTAGAAGTTTAAATAAAAGCATAGACGCTGCGATTTCACAGCCCGCAGTACCAGTATTATGTTATCTGGGTTGGAAATTATGGTTTTTTCTTTTAATTCCCGCGTTGATGAACCGATACATCCATTTTAAAAGAAACAAATATTCAACATAAATATTCCAGTTCAGCCGGAAACAGGCATCAGTCGTGATGATCCATGCTTTCCAACGTCGGCCTAGAGCAGACGACGCTCCCACAGAAGCGATTATATAAATTTAGGCCGCACGCTTGCAACACCATTCGATCTTCACTGAAGCACCGGACAGTACCGCATCCTCTACCTCTAGAATAGTTTTCTCACCGATAGTATGTGACAAACTAAACGCAAGAATCTACGCCGTCTCGCGCGCGAACGTGGAAAGCCTATGGGGCGGCCGTTCTCCTATCCCCGCTTTGATGGTGATGATGGCGCGACCGTAGCGCCACCTCTAGGTCGATCTCGAGGCCATCTAGTCTCTACTGCTGCCCGGCCGCCCCTATTTGCCTCTAGATGGCGCAAGTTGTACTGTGCCGTCCAGGGGGGGAAGGAGGGAAAGGGAATGCGGCGCAAAGCGGAGGCTGCCATATTAAAACGATTAAAACCGCTTACGTTGCCAGCATAGGTTTTGCAGCGGAGAAGTTGCTGCCATATACGGCGGACTGAGTTTTACTTTCTTTTTCGTTTTGGAACGAGAATGTATTGTTGTGTTAGATAAGTCCTCCTGCATACAGACAACGAAGTTTAATTATATTTGTCTTGTTTACTTGGTTTGAAACCCTAGAAACGGGTTTTTGACGACTTATTGCTTTCATCATTTTGGAGTACGCAAGGCAGTTATCTCGCTCTTCTGGTTTCGGTTACGAAAGCAAGGCGTTTAGCCTTACTTTCGTGTATTGTATTGGGGCGTAGTTCCCGCCCTCAATACACGTTGGACACCTTCCACACTTTGACACCGGATAACTGTATGAACAAGGATTTACATTTACTTCAGAAGTAACTTTCGCCGCCTCCTCACCGTCGAGCAGCCGGATCAGCTAGCGGCAAGCCGCGGATGGAAGGCTTGAGCATCAACAGCCTAGAGCCACTACAACAACCCAAGTGCACTCAGTGCCGATGCGGGCGACGCGGGCTTCTGTCAACCCAGCGGCGGACCCAAGAGGGGGACGACGGGGACGGCCGCCGCCCCCCCCCCCCCCCCCCCCCTCCCAGAGGGCGATTTGACATGGGTGGATCCCCCGAAATAACACCAACTACCGGCCTGCCAGGTGGTAGGAGGCTCGGTACTCAAGGACGAGGGTTCGAAATAGGGTAGGCCGCGCCCTAGCAGGCACACTTGTAATCTGAACTTGGAGAACCACTCCGTCGCTTCAACCGAGACTAAAGTCCGCGGCGGCGGTTTCAAAGCACGGCTTAGAACCAAAAGTCGGCGCAGCGGCCCACATCTAGGGGCCGTCGGTGCACTGTGGTTCTGCGGCGGTTAAAACAAAAGGCGCAACCTGAGTCCTGTCTATCTTGCTTTAGATTTTCCCTCCCCCTCCTCTTCTCCTCCTCCTCCTCCTCCTCATCCTCCTCCTCCTCCTCCTCCCCCCCCCCAAAAAAAAAAAAACGGAGTTCTGGATCCGCCTTTGGGTCAACCGGTAGCCCAGCACAATCCGTGAACGTTCCAGCTCTTCGCCATGACACGGTGTTGCAGAAAGCAGGGCAAAAATACAACTACACGGACCACCGAATCAAATGCACTGTTATCGTAAATATTGGCTTGTGATTGCGCCTTTGTAGATCATCTTATTCGTTTTGCTGGAGACGCAACCGACGGGCGTAACAAAATCGTTTGTGTAATCTGCATACTTCGCAAAAGCACTTACCCAGTCACCTTGCGAAAAGCGCGAAACACGGAGTCCGCACCGCCCCGACTTAGCAGTCTTTTACCTGCTTTAGAGCAGTTTGTACCTGCTAGTAGGCATGTCTACTGAAACTGCAACTAGGGGCAACGCCAGAGAGAAAAGGGACAAAGTTGGGAAAGCATGCTCGCTCTGTCCAATTTCTGAACTCTCAAGTGATTGTACCATAATAAATTCCCCAACACCTCTTTCCAAAATAAAGAAAAAACGCTATGTTCACTACGTAAAAAATGGTCTCAGTTCATGCATCCGCAGGCAGGTAGGAAACGTCGCCCTAATTTATTCACACCACATGACGAGCACAACAAACTCACACGAGATTTACAAGAAAATATCGGTGGTGACTTAAGTTTCCCTGAAATTCTGTATGACCGGTCGTTTGCAGGACCGAATCATCTACTCGGGCGGTGTGCGTCGCTGTGCAAACGCCAACACGAAGCATAAAAACGGCAGGTCTAGGACAACAATCCGGAGTCCATTGTTCAATTAATACGACGTAATTTTGTTGCAAACGCCCGCAGCTTTTTACTCACGGTATGCGTCGAGAATCTTCCACATTTTGAAACGGAACGAAGGAAGATTTACTTTTAAAAGCGCTCACTGCATCCTCCCGGACCAGCTGGACCGGATCAGCTGACGACGACGGTACTGAAACCACTGAATTTCAACCCCACAATAACCAATTTGCGCTTCGTGT